CTTGCTAAATTTGTTGCTTTCTTCTTTGCCTTTTCTAATTCAATTTCTTTTTTTTTCGTATTGCTAAAGCTAACATTTGTAGTACAGTATTGAATAACACTGGTAATAATGGACATCCTTGTTGCACACATAAACACACATTATCTATTGATATAATCATAGGATTTCTGTTATTTTTTTTATTGACGTGGTCAATTACAATCATATGCTGATTTTCTAATATTGAACCAGCCCTGCATTGGTGGTGTTCTCGAGATTAGTAGCTGTAATCTCTTTGCTAATATTTTATTTAAAATTTTTGCATCTATATCATTGGGGAAATTGGACTGTAATATTCTTTCTCTATTTTGACTCTTCTTGGTTTAGATATCAATACTATATTTGTATCATAAAGAGAATTTGTTAGGACTCCTTCATAACTTATTTTCCCAAATAGTTTGTGTGGTTTTGGAATTAATTGTTCTATAAATGTTTGATAGAATTAACTTATAAATCCATCTGCCCCTGGAGATATTTTTCTTAGGGAGTTCATTGATGACTTGTTCAATTTCTTTTTCTGAGTATTTTTTAAGTATTTTATTTCCTGTTCCTTTAATCTGGACAATTTATATTTTTGTAAATATTCATCCATTACGGTAAGATTGTCAGATTTATTGGCATACAGTTGGGCAAATCCTCTTCATTGATGGTGAATTCACCCTTTTCATTTTTGATGCTGGTAATTTGGTTTTCTTCTTTCTTTTTTCTGTTTTCTTTTTTTTTATCAAGTTTACCAAAAATTTATCTATTTTACTGGTTTGTTTTGTTTTTGTTTTGTTTTATTTTTCCCCACCAAACTAGCTCTTAGTTTTATTAGTTCAATAGTTGTCTTAATTTCTATTTCATTTATCTTTCTTTTGTTTTTCAGGATTTCTAATCTGGTATTTAATTGGGGATTTTTCATTTGTTCTGTTTCTAGCTATTTTAGTTGCATGCCCAATTTATTGATCTCCTCTTTCTCTATTTTATTCATGTAAGCATTTAGAGATATAAAACTTGCCCTAAGGACTGCTTTCAGTGCGTCCCATAAATTTTGGTATGTTGTCTCATTAATGTCATTCTCTTGGGTGAAGTTATTGATTGTTTCTATGATTTGGTGTTTGACCCACACATTCTTTAGGATTACATTATTTGATTTCCCACTAATTTTTAGTCTTGTGGCCCCTTATTACATGTACTACCACATTACATTATTGCATCATGATCTGAACAGATGCCTTTCTGCATCGGATTGAGAGATTTTTATGCCTTAACACGTGGTCAGTTTTTATGTAGGTGCCATGTGCCGCCAAGAAAAAGGTATATTCTTACTGTACGCATTCAGTTTTCTCCAGAGGTCTGCCATGTCTAACTTTTCTAAAATCCTGTTTACCTCCTTAACTTCTTTCTTCTTTATTTTGTGGTTGAATTTATCTGCATCTGAGAGGAGGAGGTTGAGGTCCCCCACTAGGGGGACTGTGGTGCCTTTTAGCAGGATGTAGTTTGCTTCCTTATCTCTTTTGATCAGATCTAGTTTTGCTTTTGCTGAGAGAAGATCAACATTTCAAATTAATTTTTCAAAGTAGTTAAGTAGCAAACTCAGTGGCAAGCAATCCTCACTTTCAGTGAGTTTACAGTCTCACAAGGAAACACAGGTACATACATACATAATAAATTTTTAAAAATTAAAATAACAGGGGAATAAAAGAAGGTTGCAAAAATTAGTGGCTTTTCCTAGCCAACATATCTACAAGTTACAGTCATTCAGCATGAATAAATTGAGATTCTTTTTGCAGAAGTGACACAAGCAATGCAAAGATACACTTACTTCACCCAGAGATACCTGGATTAGTAGGACGGATGATATGTATATATTAAGGATAAAGTACAAACTGATTACTGTAAGAATATCGAGAAGTGTCTTTTCTTTCAGGAGTAATTAGGGAAAATACGTGGTTATTAGAATCAAAGGGTAGATTATATTTTGATAAGCATACAGTTGGAAATTGATTGTGAGAAAAGGAAAGCAAATACATTTTTCCTACAGAGACACGCATAGCCACTCTACCTGTACTTTTCTTACGTGAGCTAGTGGGATTTTGCCTCAATCCAAGTTGTTTGGCCTGAAAGGATCAGGTAGTTTTAGTGGGATAAAAATCAAAGGGATTTTTTGTTAAATGGTGGTTATATCATAGGAAAGTAATTTATTTCCTTGAAACATAGTGAAAAGTGGGGCTTTAAAAAATGATTAGGATGAGGGGGGTAAAGTTGATTTCCAAAACATATTTGTCACCTTTGATATTAGTTGTGGTAACACGTTTTCTCATTATTCTCAGCTACTGAAGTGGTGACTGTATTTGTGTTTCAAGAGCCATCATTCTTGTCCTCCTTGCAAGAAAGTGGGCTAACTGATGTTATGCTACATGCCCTCCTTATCAAAGATGTAAGTTTCTCTTTCCATTTCATAAAAGCAGAAGTAGGAAGCTGCTTTACCTCTTTTATGTCCCATTCTTTTTTCTGTTCATAGGAGTGGATTTGGAGTTAGAAGATCCTTCTTTCTCCCCCACATCTCATTTTATAGATAAGGAAATTTACTGAAACCTAGAAAGCTTAAGCGACTTACTCAAAGGCAGTCACTGTCAAGGTCCTGTAACTCAAAAAGCCTTTTCTTTAATTGCAACATTTGGAGTAATGCATGTTTCTCTTTTTCGCAGGTCCCTTCAACCCGAGAAGTACTTGGCTCCCTGCCAGATGTGTTTAGTGCGCTTTGTTTGAATGCACGAGGTCTTCAGTCATTTGTGCAGTGTCAACCTTTTGAACATCTCTTCAAAATGCTACTTTCTCCTGATTATCTTCCTGCTATGCGAAGAAGGAGGAGTTCTGATCCCCTTGGTAAACTTTATAACAGATAAACTTCATAACAGACTTTGAGAAATGACAGGATAGAGATCAAATGGTACCCAGATGTGTAGATATTGTAAGCCTATTCTGTTCAGCAGAATTTATTAGCATTTTAAGAAAAAACAATCTCTTTACTCTTTTGCTATCATTTAAGGAGCTCCAGACTTCTCCTTTTAGTAGTATGGAACATGCAGTAAAATTTATAAATTTAGCATTGTCCCAATTTAGTGTCTATTGGGATAGAAACATAATTTGTTCTTGACTAATCAACATCACCTTTACATCCTTTCTAGAAAAGTTTCTGAGTATCTCATACCATTTTGAGCTATACTGATGTAGATTTCTTAGCTATACTAAACAAACATTTAGCAAATGGCAACTTATATGCAAAATACTTTGCTATAAAATGGCCTTCTTCTGTTATATAGTACACCAGTTGTTTGGTTTTTTTGTTAGTACAACCAAAAAGGGAAGGGTGGTGGTGTTCTGGATATAAATTTCCATTCAAGAATTAGAATACTCACTGTAGCCTGATTTCTTTTTTCTTTTTAATTATTTGAAGAATCTTTTAAGCTTATGGAAAAGATGTTACTGTTCTGGCTAACAAGGCTTTGAAGATCTTCTTTGCTTTTTAGGTGATACTGCTTCCAGTCTGGGCAGTGCAGTTGAGGAACTGATGAGGCACCAGCCCACACTCAAAACAGATGCTACAACTGCTATTATTAAGGTAGGAAGCTACTTAATTATGTGGTCCAGCACATTGGGGTCAATAGATAATCACACTTTACATTTAAAGCTGCTGTCATTGGAATGAGAAATAGAGCTTGGGGCAGCAAGTGAAGTGTCAATCAAGTCCTTCCATGAATGAAAACTGGGCTTTCTTTGGGTCTCTTTAAGAGTTTCTGGTTCATCTCATTAGACATCATTGATAGTCTCTAATAAGGGATTGGTCCTTTATTTAGTTCGTTTTCTTGGTACATAGCTATGGTCATAACATGCCAAATCTTCTGTTATGAGTATGTTTGAAAATGATCAACCTTTTCTGCTGTTTGTATATCATATATGTTCTATCACTAATTAAAAATAGAGTTTCTTGTGTCTCTTAGCTATTAGAAGAGATCTGTAATCTTGGAAAGGATCCGAAATATATTTGTCAGAAATCATCTATTCAAAAAGTCGATAGCACTGCTTCAGCTCCTCCCCCAAGGTCTAATCATGCTGCAGAAGAGGCTTCCAGTGAAGATGAGGAAGAAGAAGTACAAGCTATGCAAAGCTTTAATACTACTCAGCAGCAGGGAACTGAAACAAACCAACAGTAAGTTGCCTTATCAGAAATGGTACTAGTGAGTTATGTTTCTATAACCTTAAGCAGGTTCCTTCATCTCAGTCAGAACTTCAATTTCCTTAGCTGAAAATTGGTCTTTAAGCTTCCTTTGTTTTTTCTAAGCTGTACAACTCAGATTCTCATTTGTATTTAGTTGTATTTGTTTGACTTTAAGTTGAAAAAGTGTTTTCTTCTATGTATATAACTTAAGCACAGTTTATAAGCAGTTTAAATTCAAGTGTGATATATTCAAGAATGCTTTGATAGAGAGATTTGCTCCGGTATGCCATTGAACTAAACCTGAACCTAATTCTGGGAGCTGGAATTAACATCTTTTTTTTACAGGCCCATTTTATGAAGTACAAGGAAACAAGTAACATGATTGAAATAATGGCTTGAATGTTTCTGTCCCTTGTAGAAGGGGAAATCTTAAAATTTGTTTTTTGATTATGGGCATAAATGAAAGAAAAGAGTGGCACAAATTTAGTAGAGAAACTTACTTAGTTTGTTAATACTTTGCATAGTACTTATTATCATATTCTGTTATGGTAGTTTGAAATATCATAATCATAGCTGTCCTTTATAAAGTATTTCAAAGTTTTGCAAAACATCTACCTTGAACTTACTTTAATAAATGTGTTTTAGTTTGCAAAGGGTAAATTCCATACTTAAAGTAAACAAGAGCATGTATCATCATCTGCCAACTTTGAATCATCAGCTTCTCTCCCCACCTTTCCAAGAAGGTTTATATCAGTTGTCCTCTAACACTAAACCTGCAGCAACACTCATTATGATCATAATTATCATAAGAACAAAGCCAACTAATACTGTTAACTTGCGATCAACTGGAGGAACCTAGAAGAGCTCAATTTAAGAACTAACAAACCATAAGAGCCATGTGGCCATGGAATAGGTTTAGGTGTTTCAGCAGAGACCATTTGTCTTAGAGT